TAGAAAGTAGAATCCTAATCAGTTGAACTGATCATCCAGTAGTAATTTAAGGGTTTGTGTTTTGTACATGTACAAAACTACTATAAAGTTGAAAACTAATCTTGTGCTGTACTTTGTGACAAAAGATATTAGTATCTTTTTGTAGGAGCTACCAACTTTAAGGCAGGGACCAACCAGAACAATCTTTATGGTCACCCTTTTAACAGTAATCAAACAAATATCCAACAAAATGTCTATAGTTAACTATAGACATTTTGTAGGATAAGTCTTATATAGTCAGAATCTTTGTTTTAGCAAAACAGTTACTTAATTCACAAGACACAATCCTAAGTAGTACACAGGTTTCCTATAACTGTTTGTTAGGTTTTGTCTTACTCAGACACTCAAATAAATTGGGGCTTCAGGCCCTCAACATTTCTCTATGTATTCTGTATACCTTTTTGAAGGTTTCTGTGAGAGATTGTTTGTTTGTGAAGGCTTTCACTTTTCCTGATGCATGCATTCCTCTTTCACACACATGTCTAAGAAAAAGATAAGATGAGAGACTTGAGCTACAACAAAGACCATTGTATCTATCAGAAAATATTGAAGGCTAATCTAATGGCCAGTTTTAGTACCATGTCTGACCTTGGAAGGTGAGACATGGTAACTAATCTGCAGAATGTTGTGTGACTGACTATGTAGTGTGAGAAGGCAAACTATACCATATTTATTGAAAACAAACAGCAGATGCTTTTCAAAGTGGTCAGTAGTGAGAGTTGGGTTATAAAAGATCCCATGTGCTAAGTTTGTCTCTACTAGATCTTTAGAGGCGAGATACGGTATCTGATCGATCTAAAAAACAGTAATCTCCATCTGACATACATTAAAAGTTAATAATCTACTGTTGATAAGTTTTGGCATAGATCATGAATGTTACAGCCAAATCAAACCATTATTCTCAAACAATGAGTGTTCTGGCTCAAACTACTCTCAATCTGTATAGTGTACAAAAACACTGAACTCCTGTATGTGAATAAACTCCATTGAATGAACAAAACACTAATGAAATGTTAATACAGATTTCTGTACTCAGCCTTCTACTTACATGTTTTGTACACTAAAAACATATGAATGTACAAACAAATTTAAACTGATTCAGTTAACATTAAACAAAGTTTCCTGGTTATTAAACAAGACTATTTTATAGGTTTAAACAAGGAGTTTCTATACTGTCTGTAGATGTCACTTAGAAATAAAAGATCTCAAACATCAAGTTTAAAAGTTTGATTATAAGATGTTAGTACATGGAACCTAGGTGACTCAAACTCAACTAGATTGATTGTTTGTTTTCCAAAAACATCTTAGAGTTATGATCTCTAGGTAACTCAGATCTGGTTCTAAGAGAATTAACTCAAACTTACAACTTGTTAAAGTTTCGTATTAAACACAGTTTCCCTTTATGTAAACTACAAATGTTTTCTGGAGGAAGTCTTGTTTCAAAGTTAGTGTTAAAATGATCTAAGATTTGTTTAGTTGAATATTCAACTCGAGGAAAACTACTAAAATCAAATTTAGAGCTGAACTTTTACCTACAGTGATGTTTAAATCTAGTTGCAGTTAAACTAGTTAGAAATCTTTATAAATTTGTTTTGTAGCATTACATTGATTTGTAATTGTAAGCAGTTTTACAGTACTGAATTGTTTTGTAAGTTTACAGAGTTTGATATCAAACTCTGTAAGGTTCATGCTTTGGAGTATAAACTACAATCATTTGATATCAAACTCTGAAATTGTAATACACTTTTACGTTACTAGAACTCTTTACCTAAAACTAAAATGTAAACTTGTGTATGTTTACCCTACTTAAACAAGCAAGAGCTGTTAGGGTAAATTAAGCATATGCTTAAACTTAAATCATCTACAAACAGCTAACAAACTAGTTTTTATAGATTACATGAAATGATTGGATCTTTAATGAGTTAACTAGATTATACACATCTACAGTTTAAGCATGTTTTTAGCTCTTAGTTTGTATAAAGATCCAATGATTATAAAAACTAGATTATACAGAGCTAAACTGATTTCAGTTTTCCATTTAGGAAAACTAAAATCAAGTTGAAAACCTTAGCTGTTTTGACTGTAAAGTCCTCAGTTTGTACATGTACAAACAGTTTTTAATTATAGTATAATGTAGAAGGTTGACTAGTTATACATTGAGTACAAACTAACACCAGTAACAAATGTTCAAAATAAAGTTTACATCTCAAATCTTTAATTTTCTAGAGATCAATACAAACTCCTAGTTTGTTCATAATGTAAAATGTTAGACCTAATCAGTTTAGGATAAATCTGTCAGTTAATCTAAACTTAGTAGTAGATTGAAACATGAAGCAGACAGACATGTCTAGTCATTCAAAACTTATTCTACAATGATTAATGTTGAAGTGTACGCAGATTTTGAAGTCTGAAAGCACTTTCTAGATATTAGATTTAGAAACAATCTAGATACTATCAAGCAGGTTTGAAATTAACACTGACAACTAACTGATCGGATCTCTGCAGAGATCCGTTTAATGTTGTTATAAAGGTCTAGTTTTAGAAATGACATTAAACAATTTGTAGCTTAAATTTTGTAAACTAGATTAGAGCAAACTAGATCCTGACAGATTTTGTAAACTACTGTATTATCTGCTGGAGATTAATTACTTATTACATGATTGCTCCTAACTAGGAGCAAACTAGAGTATACTCTACAGATTTATCAATGATCAGATCTTAGAGTACTTTAGTTGAGAATCACATTCGGTAAGTACTTACCAAGGATCTAGAGAAACTTTACAAACTAGAGCAATCACTCTAAGATCTGATCATGAGTCTGTACCGAAATCAAATATATGAGTAATAAAATCACTCCCCATCATCCATGATATAGACATGATTATTGGTATGTAAAGTACTCTACCCTAGAGTTTAGTTTACACTGAAGTATAGGGTAAAGATTGTAATTTAAACAAGGTTAAACCATCTTTACCCGAAACTAGTTTACCCTAGTATATAAACAATAACCTTTAAAGTAACTTTAATCAGAACATGTGTACACTACACTAAACTTTCTACAAGTTTATATGTGCTAGTTTAATCAGAACATAAACATAGTAAATTTATGTAAACTGTCCAAATACTGTACCTTGAATATTCAATGTTCTGATTAACTTTAAGTTTAAACAGTAAAGTTAAACTGTTAGAATATTCATAACTACATAAAGTGTCATGTAGTTAACTTGTAACCTGTAAACACACAAGTTAACTACATAAGTGTCATGTGTATACTTTAGTTAGTTTAGTTAGTATACACTTACTTTAGTTTACTTAGTATTCTTTGATTAAAGCTGTTTAAACTGATGGCAAGTAAACCACAGAGTACTTTGTACTTTATTCTTGGTTTGTAGTTAAGTAAGATGTCAAGTTGTTTTTGTTGAGTACACCTACTAACACTTCAGTTTACTGTTGGTTTACTTTGTTCAACAACTAATGTCAACCAAAGTGAACTCTAAGTTTAAGCAAACCTGTTGTTGAAGTTAAACTTAAACAAACAGTATTTTACTTCTCTCAGTTCAGCAAAGGTTTACTTGCATTAGTCAACTTGAAACATTAGTTAATATGTAAAGTTCAAAAGTTGTTCTCTAGTGGAATGTTCTAACTAAATAGTAACCTGTGTTAACATTACACAATATGTCTAGTTCACTTTATAGTGTTATGCTTTACAGTTAAAGTAACTAAAGTACTTCCTGAGTAGTTTTAGGACGGTTTTCTTTTTACACAAACAAAACTAGGGTCACCATTTAAACAAAGTAGTTGTTGTGAAAACTAAAACTACTTCCACACTTGTACTGTTTGTTTGAGACTTAACGTAGAAGTTTTTACTGGCCTTTAAGTGTTCTGAGTTGGAACTGTTTAGTCAACTTAGTTGACTAAACTTGTTCATGAAGTACAAACTCGGTCTGTTTTTATTCAACATGTTCAGACTAACAGAAGCTTGAGTTCAGTATTCTACGTGAACATTAAAGCTTGTTTCTGGGTTTAAAGTAGTCTCTCTTTTAGTCTGACGTTGATTGTTCATGTTCACTAACTAAACACACAGTTAATGTAACTGTAGAAGTAGGTTTATACTTTAGTCTTTGTACATATAAAGTTTAGTTGTCATTTGCATTAAATTTGAACATCTTACTGTACTGTTGTCTAGTGACCTAAGTAGTTTCAGTTTGTGGTAGCATTGTGTACAGTTCACTAAACGAAGTTCACTGGTTAGTAAAGTCTGTTCTACGCTTTATTGAAAAATGTACATGTATGTGGTTTACATGCTTGCAGTTGTTTCAATAAAGTGTAGGTTTGGAGTTCAGTAGTTGAACTAGTGTAAAGTTTAGGTTAACACATTTCTTGGACAAATTAGTACTACATACAAATTTAACCAAAAGTGCCCTAGAGTTGGTTTTACTATTTTATGCTTGTGTTTAGGTTTTAACCTAAAGTGCACTTGTACTTTTGTAACAAGTGACTGATTAGTTTAGTAAATTTGTTACTTACCAACTTTACTAGTAAATTATGTGAACATTTACTACCTGAATGTGAAAAGGTCACTCCACACTCAACTAAACATTACTAAGTTTTAGTATACTTGTACATGTACATTTCATAATGTTTAAGTATGTACTAAGTAGTTGTACACTGTAATGTTTTAACTATACTTATAATGTCCTGTACAGTTTGTTAAAAGCAAACCTTACTTTACAGTTTACACTGGTTGTATGTTAGTGTTTAGTCCATGGTTTAAAATGTACACACGTATGTAAACCATAAGTATACAGTAAAGACAAACTTAGTCTGTCTTTACAGTATAAAGTTTGGTTATTAGTATGAACTGTACTCTTCAATGTGCTAACACCAAACTTTTTATAGCACTATACAATCCCTCCTGGCCAGAACCATTGAGACAAGATCCTTTGCTTCCCCCTCTCCAGGTTTGAAAGTCAGTGTGACGCTGTTGCTGGGAACAGATCAGGAATGCAGACAGACACTAACAGAAGTTCTGAGACTGTAAGTAACCAAAAGGAAATCTAGCTAAAGTGGCTGATAAAAATAAGCTGTGCTCAATGGAATGTATACTCCTGTTTTGTGTCTTTTTGTAGGTTAAGATGTAGCCTATAGGGATTCATGATGTTTTGAATCTGATGTGATCATTCTTACTTCATTTAACCTTTTCTCGTCACCATCGACTATACAGAGGTAAGAATCTTCATTATAACCTCTGTATAAACAGTCAGGTAACCTACAAATCTTTAAGATCCAAGGGTTTGGGTCTGTGTTTGCCTGTACAAATTGGTGAGGATCTTAATCAAGCCTTCCTCAGGAAAGGGGGCTGTAGGGCTTAGGAAATGAGCCCGCTCGGAGAGGTCTTCCCTCCAAAATATCCCGCAGTTTTGTTGAACCGTATGCTGCCACTACCAAGCGTATTAAACTTCCCAAGGCACAAAGTTTGCCTTGTCCTTTAACCTAAGCTGGTAAGAATAAGCTTAGGGGGCCATTTGTGCAGGTTCCCATGTCAGTGCTTTACAGTAATTGCTTGAATACCCTAGAGGTGAATGTTTTAAAGTATAAGCCTATTACTTGTATACAAAACAAAGTGCTCAACTACTTAATTTGAGCTGTGAACATTACTAGTAATGTGGCTCGAAATTAGAGTGAACTTTTTTGCTTTACGTCTGTAATTGAGTGGGGAAGGAACCTTGACATTTAATTGTAAATAATGTTGTAAACAATCTTCTCCTTACGATCTACTCCTTAGTGACAAGTTTAGTAACTTTTGTCCATAACTGAAGTTTGACATAACTGTTACTCATAAGTTATTAAATTAATACAGATGTGAGTGAAGTACAGTGTAATCTAAGGTGTCTGTGTTCATGTGAAGAATGAGATATTGGTTTGTAATCAAAGTAGATTAAATTTGTTGTAAACATGTAATCATTAAGTGAAACTGAACATTATGAAGTTCCACTAATTATTTATTACAAAGTTATGATACATGTATATCAACAAACCAATAAAACAGGTTACATATGAACTGAACACTCATTCAGTTCAATCGAAGTAAAATCTCTTGGTACTGTAATCTTTGAAAAACACTGAAACAGAAATAGTACTCCATTTGGAAACAGTGTTCAGTTGAGCAAAAGTGATTTATTTCATGTACTTTAACTCAACTGAGTACAGTACTAAGTGTTAGTACTTTTGAACAATAAGTTTACTGTCAAACATTTAATTTTTTCAAGTACATTTCAAGTTCCACTTGATATGTACTGAACTAAGTTAAAAGAACAACCAGTTCTACTTACCATTTAGAGACAACAGTAACTGAGTTTATAAAGCTTGTTCAGGCGTAATTACATGTTTGAAATGTTCCACTTACTCAATCTAACTTTAAAAAACAGTCAAGAAGTACTGAAAAGGAAGTAAGTGGAACATTTCAAAGTTAGATTGAGTAACTGTTTTACTCTAAATTTATCATGTAGAGTACAGTTGACTCGATCAGATTTATCTCACATTTTCTAAGTGAGTTAGTAGAGTTTACTCTAACACTGTTAACACTTTGTTTGTACTAAAGTACTGCACACTTTACAAGGAATTAAATTTTGAGTTTATTCGAATTAAGTACACGTTAAACTAATTTGTTTACACATTGTGAATGTTTACATCTACAAAATGTTTTGTGAACACTAAAGAAGAGTACCTGTGTACAGTGTTAAAATTTTGTTGGTTGGTTAGTTTACTACAGATACTATACAAGGAAAAGTTTGTTCACCAGTAACACTAGTTTTCACAAACTTTGTTTACCTCAAACCCCAAAGTACACATTTAACTAGTGTTACTGGTGAACAAACTTTTCCTTGTATAGTATCTGTACGTAAACTAACTAACCAACCAACCATAAGGTACCGGTGAACTTTGTTTAAATCTACAAAATGTTTTATGAACACTTATGTGAACAGTAACTTGACTAACTATACAAACTTTGAAGTGCAACTTGTTGCTGCTTAAGTCACCTTTAGTTTGACATTTGTCATGTAATATGTTTGACACTGAAGTTTCAACTTCATCTAAAAGTCACAACTTGTGTACACCTTACTTAAGTAAGGTGTACACAATAAGTTGAAACTTTACAACTTTCCCCATCATGGTTTACTATACATTAGTTTCAAGTGATGTAAAAGTTTACAGATTTAGTTTATACTTCTTCAGTTTCACTGAATAACAGTTTAAGTAATGTATTGAAATTGTTTTTATTAGTGTATGTACATTAAATGGATGTTAAATGACAGCCTGTACATGTAATTGGATACACAACAAACAATACTTAAATAGGAAACTAACTGTTTAACGTGTAAAGTACAGATTGTGTCACTTGAAGGTTAGTACTTAAATTCATAACACTGCACTCTTAGTCTGTTGCTGTTCTTTCCAAGTTTATAGTACTTCATACTTTATTTTGCTTATAAACACAGCACAAGTAACTCAACAAACTCAAGGTTGAATGTGTGTTTGAAAGTTGTAATTAAACTATCAATGCTTTATATTATGTCAGACCATTTGTTGGATTAAACCATATAAAAGTTAGTTGTCTGTGTTAATTTTAGTCTTAAACATCGTAAGCCATATCTATAGTTTCAGTCTTATTTACTTGTTTACACTTTTCCAACAAAACCACACTAGATCTAGTCTCGAAACACTTTAAATCTCTAATGTCAAAGTTAGAACTCTGTAAGAATCACTAAAGTCAATCTCTGTACAGAATCCTCTGATTGAAAGCACTATTTACTCAGTCTACATCTCAGTAAGATTCTCCCATACATTAGAGTCCAAATTATGAGTAGCAGCTGTGTTAGTCTCAGGTGCTACAAGTCCTCCTTTCCTTTTTGCAAATACAGACTAACCAATTTGAGCCTAAGCTTTTGTGAGCTACAGCTTGCTAGATTCAGTAAAACACTAGTATACTACTGAACAATTAGTAACATTGTGTAAAAGATTAGAGCAAGTCTACAACCTTAGAGTACTCAATGACTGATAAAGAGTTTAGAGTACTTCTACACCTAAGTTGAGTGTTTAACAGACTAACTGTACCCAGTTTTTAGGTTGTAGACTTGCTCTAATGTCCCATTTACCTTAAATTGTTTAAGTTTACCAACAAATACAGTGCAGAGTACATGCTGAGTACTCCAACCCTTTAAACCTTGGTAGACAAAGCTATACACTATATACAAAAGTGTACAGTTCAGTGTCTAAGTCTCATGGTATACATCTCAATGTACACTATAAATGGAAATAAAAAGGTAGAATTAACCACACTGTACACTAAACTATGTAAGTTAATTAAGTTGGAAAAGTCTACTAAACTTGTTCTAAACACCAGGTTATATTTTAGTTTAGACCGACCTATTTAGGCAGTTAAGTTATGAAACTTTTTTCCTTTTAAACTTTAACACTGGTTTTGTGTTAGATGAACAAATCTCTGGTTACCTGAAAAACACTTAATGTCACATCCTTGCTGACCAGGTCTTTGAGGTAGTCCCTAACACCCAAACTGATCCAATGGATGGATAGATCAAGAGATGTACAGCTCAAGGTAGACAATCCATCTGGTAGATTGACTACTGAAACTGCTAGAAGATGTGTCAACTACTCATCCAAGCAGTTAAAAGTAACTCAGGATTGGAAGGGACCTCAGGAGGTCATCTAGTCCAACCCCCTGCTCAAAAGCAGGACCAATCCCCAATTAAATCATCCCAGCCAGGGCTTGGTCAAGCCTGACCTTAAAAACTTCTACGGAAGGAGATTCCACCATCTCCCTAGGCAACACATTCCAGTGTTTTTCACAAGGAGGGTGGTGAAAGTTTTTCCTAATATCCAATCTAAACCTCCCCCACTGCAACTTGAGACCATTACTCCTCGTTCTGTCATCTGCTACCATTGAGAACAGTCTAGAGCCATCCTCTTTGGAACCCCCTTTCAGGTAGTTGAAAGCAGCTATCAAATCCCCCCTCATTCTTCTCTTCTGCAGGCTAAACAATCCCAGCTCCCTCAGCCTCTCCTCATAACTCATGTGTTCCAGACCCCTAATCAGTTTTGTTGCCCTTCGCTGGACTCTCTCCAATTTATCCACATCCTTCTTGAAGTGTGGGGCCCAAAACTGGACACAGTACTCCAGATGAGGCCTCTCCAATGTCAAATAGAGGGGAACGATCACGTCCCTCGATCTGCTCGCTATGCCCCTACTTATACATCCCAAAATGCCATTGGCCTTCTTGGCAACAAGGGCACACTGCTGACTCGTATCCAGCTTCTCGTCCACTGTCACCCCTAGGTCCTTTTCCGCAGAACTGCTGCCGAGCCATTCGGTCCCTAGTCTGTAGCTGTGCATTGGGTTCTTCCGTCCTAAGTGCAGGACCCTGCACTTATCCTTATTGAACCTCATCAGATTTCTTTTGGCCCAATCCTCCAATTTGTCTCGGTCCTTCTGTATCCTATCCCTCCCCTCCAGCGTATCTACCACTCCTCCCAGTTTAGTATCATCCGCAAATTTGCTGAGGGTGCAATCCACACCATCCTCCAGATCATTTATGAAGATATTGAACAAAACCGGCCCCAGGGGTCAGTCCTGGGGCCCTCCAATGGCTCCATGTCTAGTTGGCAGCTGGTATCAAGTGATCACTACCCGTTGAGCCCGACAATCTAGCGAACTTTCTGCCCACCTTATAGTGCATTCATCCAGCCCATACTTCTTTAGCAAAGCTTTTGACACTGTCTCCGACAGTATTCTTGTCAGCAAGTTCAAGTAAAGGAAAGCAGTGGATGTATTGTTTCTTGACTTTAAAAAGAAGTGTTTGATCACCAAGTGGTTTAAACTATTCCTTCTAATTGTTGCTAGCAGTTAGTGTTACAGTGCCACAAGCACTCCTTTAACAAATTTGAGCATAAGCTAAGGTGCCACAAGTTGTCATCCTTAGTCTGTATCCACAAAAAAACACAGCTGCTACTCTCGATCTGTAACTAGTACAGTGGAAAAGAAGATCTGTAATCCTTATCAGATGAAACAGTGGGACAGTTAAGGTCAGCGATGTACAATTTCCCTGTTAATGGACAAGTAGCTGTAAATTCAGTGAGATTTATGGTTGAGTTTCTAACCAGATTATTCA